GGTTGTTTACAATTAAGAAATGACTGTAAGAAAGACATCTCGCAATAAATATTTTATAGAATATGCTACAACTTTGTTTATATATTGATGAAACAAATTTAATCTCATTTATTTCAGAAGTTGAGTGGCAACTGGGGAGGGGGTAAGGTAATGTTCTAGGCAAATATTTTTTTGAATCCCTGCTTCCTTTATATTCCTAAGTAAATAAAGAACAGGTACCTGAAAGTATGAAAATAATTTTCCTTGGAGTTGCAATGTATTTATAAAAAGTTATATTCTACTCAGAGCTAATTCTCTGAAGATGTGGTCAATTTAATAACAAATATTATAAACAAAATTTGGTGTACAGACTGAATTAACTGAATGTCCCAGACTATTTCAATTTTCTGCTTACCGTGCATTCTGGTGTGAGTTGAGCTGATCAAATAAGGAATTCACATTAATTTATTTTCTCACATTTTCTGTTTTTTTTTCCAGTGGGGTGGGTTATTGTGTGTATTCAGGAACAGCCACTCTAGGCTTTTCTGCAATGGACATTGCTAATCTAATGAACACAGTCTGAAATAAAAGGCAGAAATTGTTTAAGCTTTCCCAATTCTGGGTAAACACTGAAATAATTGTACAAATCCCTAGCTTTGTGAACAGGTGCAAAAGGGCATGTAATTTATTATATTTCTCATTATGTTATATGTAATATCCCAGCAGGACTTTGCCAGGGACTCCTAGTACAGGATTCATCCTTCCTGTCCTGGGGATGTGAACTTTGGTTGTCTAGAAGTTATCTCAGGCACTCAAGGCTAGGACTATGTAAGCTATATGTTGATAACAGATAAATTTGTATCTGCAAGGACAGCTAATCTGTTCCTAAAACAAATATCTGAAAATAATTTAATAAATACCTCTGAAGAAGGCTATTCTTTTCACTTACTATAAAAGGAATGTTGCTGTTTTTTTCCCCCTGAATTCAGCTTGCTCTTCTCCAATAGTGTTGCCATTCCTATATGTACAGCACAAGCAAGGTTACAGCCATAAAAGCCAGATTACTGTGGCTGTAGATGATATTTTACTCTATATCAATTATTTGTCATAATTCCTTTCTCTGCTTGTCACAGTGGTGTCTGGATAAGGAATCACAGGGCAGTTTACCAAATAGTGCATAATAAGTAAGTAGTAGTAGTAGACAATAAAAATGCTTAAAAGTAAGAAATTCAAGGTTTCTGTATCAGAAACCCCCTTAGACTTCAGTCAAAAAGTCTTCACTTAAAATTTGCAAGTGCAATTTGTAACATTTTCTGGCAGACCATTTTGTCAATAAGTCATCACCTGCACAGTGTTCAGAGTGTAACAATCACAGGGTGAACCAATCAGCTGCCTGCTACAAACAGTGAAATAATCTGAAAGTCTATTTTACCTTGCAGGTATCCCAGCTACACTCAGCCTGTTGAAATCAGCCGAACTGACTCTCCAGATACCAGGGGTGAGCATGACTTCAAATTTAGATGAATTGGTGAGGGTTCCTGCAGAAGACACTGGCAACACAGAGAATGCAGAGTGGGACAAATTCATCCCTAGCATGACTAAACTTACCTCGATGGAGTTACAGCAAGGATGACTGTGGGTCAGTACATGTAATGCCACCAGAGAAGGGCACCCGCTTTTAGCTGTGTTACAGACTGCAACTGGACAAAGGGATTCCTTCAAAATGACTGCCTCTCCTGTCTCCTCTCAGTCTTACAGAAACCTACTTACCTCAGTATGAACTAAAGAAGATGTCTTTACAAGTCTTTTTAAAGATTGGATTGTATCATACTTTGTAAATACTGTAGGTATTTATTTTTATATCTTTTAGATGCTGTGGAATGTTCTAAAATGTATCATATAAAGAACTCTTATGTATTTGAAAAAAATCTCAAACATCATTTATTTATATCCTGTTTCTATAAATGAGTGACTTATTTACAAGGAATGCTTACTTATACACTAGTGATATTCTGGAATTACTTTGCACTTCTTTTTTTGGTAATTCACCTTTAGAAAATTATGTGTTCGTTATGGAAGTTCCACATCAGGTTGATTTTGGGAGATTTCAGGCTACTTTTCTCCACACAGTTGTGCTTCTACGATGTGAACCCAAAGTGCTGCAAGTCACACGTGTTTTCATAAAATTACACTAAATAGCCTTTTTTTTCCCTTCAGATTCGAGTGCCTAAAATGTAACTACATGATGCTCAAAGGTGCTACAAGCTCAAAATTCCTACTCAGGCCAATAGGAATAACAAGTGTCAGCACCCTGAAGGACAGGGCATTTTAATTCTGGTAGCTCATTTTAGTCCATAATGTCTTCAAGTGTCACTACAGATCTCTGTGAGGATCTTTAAAGTAGAAAACATTGAGTTATCTTGCTTGTTTTAATAATTTCTTTCTCAGCTGACATTTAATACTAATGATACAAACAATAAACAGATTTATATGCCAAATGTTGACTTTTCAACAATTAAAATAAAATATTTCTCTTAGGATATTGTAGAGGTGATATCACATTGGACCTGTAGTTCAAGTACTCACTCATTTTCCATTTATGAGATGAGCTCCCTGGCCTGGGGCTTCCTACCAAGCATTGTAATTTTTCTTTTAAAGAGGGAATTTGATGTATCACTGGAGACTTAGCATGCTAGGGTAATGTGGCCAATTGGTTAGAATGAGGTTAATCTATAAGAACCTAAGCTGCAATCTCCCTGTGGCCCTATTCTTGAATTTCAGCTAAGATTTTTCAAAAGGAAGGGTAAGATGGGAGAGAGGACTTGTTTTTCAGTAAAAAGCATTAGACATCATAGACAGAACACATTCTCCATGTTTCTGAAAAGCCAGTTATTCATAGGCAGTGTAATTTGATTAACTTCTGTAAATATTTTTCTAGAATTTACTTTGACCTAATGTCATGATGTGGGAAACAGTTCTTCTTCCTCATGTACTATCATGACAGCTATCACTTTACAACGTTTCATTACTTTATGTTTTACCCTTCCCCAACAGGTGTTTTACTTGACATTGTTGAAATTATTCCTAGTTTAGACTGGTGTAAAGTGAAAGAAAAAAAATATATTTGTTTGTATATTACATTTTTCTATTAAAAGGCAAAAAGGAGAACATTCTTTTTCTATTTGAAAGAATAAGGGGAAATACCTAAATGGAAAGAACGGTTAAACATTAAATAAAATTATAGGGTTTCCTATATTATTGTGTGCTCACTTATTTTTTCAGTATAGCTATTATATAACTGTTATTTCAATAAATTATTTTACTTTGTCTCTTCTAAGAAAAGAAAAAACAATAATTGTGGAAAATGCATCAGGATTTTATTTCATAGCTATTGAAATTCCTTTGCAATTACAAGGCTATTTTTGTTCTTCAGCCCCAGAAAATGTAGTATTCTTGAACTTTAAAAAAATGTGTGGAACGAGATAGAATTTTTCTGTATTGATCACAGAATCACAGAATCATCATGGTTGGAAAAGACCTCTAAGATCACTGAGTTCAGCCATCAACACAAAACAAAACAAATCTCCACAACCTAGACCACTAAAGCATGCCCTGAAGTGCCATGTCTACATATTTCTTTAATATCTCCAAGGATGGTGACTCAACCACCTCACTGGGCAGCCTGTTCCAGTGTCTGACCACTATTCCACATAGAAATTCTTTCTAATATCCAGTCTAAACCTCTCCTTGCCACAACCTCAGGCCATTTCCTCTGGTTTTACCGTTATCCACTTGGGAGAAGAGTCCAATGCACATCTCCCCTACAACCTCATTTCAGGTAGTTGTAGAGGGTGATGAGGTCTTCCCTCAGCCTCCTTTTTTCCAGGCTAAACAACCCTCATGTCCCTTCTAAAGATGGTAAACTCTCCTTCTTTTCCTAAGTCCCAGCAAAAAATCTCTGTTAAACCAGGCTGGCCATCTTCCCACCCTTTCATCTTATGGCACATGGGGACAGCCTGCTTTTGGGCCTTTAAGATTTCCTTCTTGAAGAGCATCCATCCCTTCTGGACCCCTTTGCCCTTCAAGTCTGTCTCCCAAGGGACTCTCTCAACCAACGTCCTGAATAGACTAAAGTCAGCCCTCCAGAAGTCCACGGTGGAGGTTTTGCTAACTCCTTACATCACTAAGAATTGGAAACTTAACCATTTCATATTCACTAAGCCCAAGACAGCCTCTGACCACCAAATCCCCCACTAGTCCTTCTCTGTCTGTGTACAGGAGGTCCAGTGAGACACCTCCCCTAGTGGGCTCACTTACCAGTTGTGTCGCCAAATTATCTTTCATACACTCGAGGAACATCCTCCTGTTTCTTGTCTGCTGTACTATATTTCCAGCAGACATCTGGTAGGTTGAACTACCCCACCAGAACAAGGGCTGGCAATTGCAAGACTTCAGCCAGCCTCTACAAGTGTAGAATACTTCATCTGCCTCATCGTCCTGGTTGAGTGGTCTATAACAGACTCCCATCACAGTATCTGCCTTATTTGCCTTCCCCTTCACCCTTACCCATAAATACTCAATTTTACCATCACTATAATCAAGCTCTGTACAACCAAAACACTCCCTAATGTACAGAGCCACACCTTTGCCCCTCCTTCCCTGACTATCTCTTCTGAAGAGCTTATATCCATTGATGGCAGCATTCCAGTTGTAACAGTCATCCCACCATGTTTCCATGATGGCAGCTATATCGTAGCTGTCCTGCTGCACAATGGCTTCCTTTTTGTTGCCCATTCTTTGTGCTTTAGTGTGGATGAACTTGGGCTGGGATATCGACTTCACCCCCATCCTTGGCACTTGACCCCTAAGCTAAACTCTGGTGGGCCTGATTTTATCGCCCTCCCCCTTTGTGTCTTGTTTAAAACCCTGTCTTTGAACCCTTGCCCTAATACCCTTTTCCCCCTGCAAGACAGGGTTTTCCAGTCCATTGCCAGGAGGCCTGGTGTCTCATAAATCAAACCATGGTCAAAAACCCCAAAGTCCTGCTGATAGCACCAGGTTTGGAGCTAGGCATTGATCCTGGTGAGTCTTCTTGTTTACCAATTCATCATTCCTCGGAACTGGAGGGATAGAGAAGAACACAACTTGTGCTCCTGATCCCTTAACCAGTTGTCTCAAGCCCCTGAAATCTTTCTTAATTGCCCTCGGACTTCTTCTCTCTACCTCACCACTACCTACCTGAAAGATCAAAAGAGGGTAGTAATCTGAGGGCTGTACCAGACTAGGAAATTTCCTGGTTATATCCCTAATCCAGGTCCGAGGTAGGCAGCAGACTTCCCTGTGGGAAGGGTCCAGCCAGCATATGAGACCCTCAGTTCCCTTTGGGAGGGAATATCCTATAACAATTGCCCTCCTCTTGCTCTTAACAGAAGCAGTCTTCATACATGGAGCTGACCGCTTTGGTAACTCCCTGGATGGGACTTTATCAACATCCTCATTTTCCTGGTCCTCTAATTCCAGAGCCTTGTATCTGTTCCATAAGGGCACCTGGGAAGGTGGGAAAGGTCTGGAGGGGACTCACCTGCTGTCTTGAGCATGGAATCTGCTTCCATTCACCCCTGCCATCTCTTAGGTCCCCTCCTTCTTGATGATGACAAGAGGACTACTTCTCATAAAGCCTCCACCTGCTGCTTTTTCCCTAAGGGTGGTAGGGTGTGGCTCCACCAGTCTGTTTCCCTTTCACGTTCCCAGATAGTCCTCAGTCTTTCAACTTCCTCCTTAAGATCTGCCACCCGTCTGAGCAGATCATTCACCTGGTCGTAGTACACACAGGTGTTGTCTTTGGTGTCCTCTGGCAAGAGTGACAGGCTCAGACATTCCATGCAGCCTGATACCTGGATGGCTGTGTGTTTCTGAGGTAGGTCAGTCTGGGTCAACAATTTCAATAACTGAAATTATTCAATAGCTGCTGAATGACAACAGAAATGGAAGAATGGAATTTCAAAAGTTTTCTAAATTTTATATTTTGATAGAAGTAAATAAAAACTGAAGATGTTAAAAACTAGTAGACTAGTTGTAAAACAAGTATCAGTAGTCATTTAATTGTGGCATAAAACTTTGCCTCAACCCACTGCTGAAAAAATGCTAATTATGCCAGCATTTTGCAAACCTATATTTTCCTTTCAGAGAATGTATTTTTACCTTTTCCTTGAAGAATGAGACAGAAAGCAGTGAGTATCCAAGCAAAATGTGTCAGTACAAAGGGGAGTAGGCTTACTTTCCAAGTATAAAAGGCCATGGGAGACTGTGGAAGATCAGCAAAATTCTCCTGTCTTGTCCTCCTTGTTGCCCAGATCCCTGTGAAATTAATAGGAGGTGGGGGTATAGGTGAGGGTGCAGACAGTGGGTGGTGATGCTTTAAGAAAAAGTAATTATATATATATATATATGTATGTATGAATAATGCATAAATATATATATGTATAAAAGTAGCTTCTTTCTAAAAGGAGGTTCAATGCTACCTGCCAACTGATATTGTCTTCTTTTTGCTACTGCCTTAATGCCAGTGGGATAAATTGTGTTTGTGAATCTTAGGTGAGGACACCACTAAAGGTCATTGGCAGCTTTTGGCTCCTGCAAGTCTCCTGAGACATGTTAGAAATTGAGGTTCTGGCCTTAATTTTCTCCTTTGTAAGAGAAAATTTAACATCTGTTCTCTTTGTTCTTTTCTCTTATTTTCACTTAGATCTCCAAAATTAAAATATTCCAAAGTTCCTAGGAACTCCTTTGAGCCATAACTTTAACTTAAAAGTACTTTTTGTGTGGGGAACAGAAATAAAAGTTTAAAAACTAATTGAGAAGAGATTCTGGACTTTTCACTGGCCAGATTTTTATTGAGTAAACAGCATATCTTTCAGACAGACGTTATACAATCAGAGCTTATCAAAGTAATTGAAATTCTAAGGAAAGATAGAAAGTGTTAACTGAGAATATGGTTATCAAACTAAAGATTTTTGTCATTTTCAAAGCCATGGAAGGCTTTTCATAAATAACGTTTTGGGTTTTTATTTTAATAATTTTGATGCAAATATTTATATTTATTTGGTTAGTTCTACAAAATTTGAGAAATACCTAGACATTTTCCTCCGTAGCTCAGATATGTTTTCAAGACAAGGTTTCATCAGAAAAACTTCACATGCACTTACAAATCAGTTACCTATCTGTAAAAAGTAGTGGAGGGTTTTTTGCCAATTCTGCAGCCATTTACTCAAGAAAGATCCAAATATTTTTATAATTCAAAATAATATCCAGCTGTATTTATTTTTTAACTAAACCAATCACTGGAAGTTTTCTGTAAAGATAAACACAATAGTGAGCAGTGGACATTAATGTAATAAAATGGCTGCGAGAAGAGTAATGTGGAACCCAATGCATTTTGCACATGACAGAAATTAACGCATCTTAAAGAAGTTTCTGCTTCTTATCCATTAAAAGAAGGTGAGAAATGAGCATTTCTTATCCAGTCTACAAATTTTGAAAGTTATTTGGAAGCTGAGCTTTAATACGGTTTTATGAACTCTAGCTACTTTGGTGTGCCACCATTTCCCCTAGCAAGACAAGAACATAGAAATGGAGTTGTCATGGAGTTGTTTCTGCTTGATCATAACATCATCAGACACAGAGTTTAAATCACAATGTATTAGGTCATTAACCTGGAGAGTGCATTACAGGAAGGAGAATACACTAAGAATTAGCTTAACTCAGCCCTTGAAGTAAGATGCATTGCAACCTACTGCTGCATGTTACAATTGATTAGGACCAAGGCAAAATTGTGTCACAGCTAAAATTATATTAATTCATCCAGTTGTTCCTTTTACCTGACAGTAAGGTTTGTTGTCTTCTGAGTGTTAGATTTATTGGATGAAATAGTGTATTATTTTATGCATACACTTTTGGGGAAAGAAAAGACAAGTATTTAGCAATGTTTGCATTAATTAAATAAGTAACTTAAATAAGTTATGTAATAAATTAGCTAGGTTAAAAATCTGGATTTCTCTCAAATTCTGCTTTGAATAATAGGGACAGAATTTCACCCACTATACCTCTGTCTCTGGTAGCTATACTGAAAGTATTATGATGTCTTTTTGTTTTAAGTGCTCAAAGACCAAATCCAATTAAAAATGTTCTGTATAGGATAAGCAGCTTGTGAAAACAAGACTCATGAGTAGCATGAAGAAATCAATAGAGATCTGTTGTTTACTCCTCCTTTCAGTGCAAAAGCAAAGAATACCTGGTGAAATCAGCAGGTCTGATTTGTGGTTGATTTATCTTTTATTAAATACCCTCTGATCTGCTGAGTTTTTTATGACAAGCTGTGTTTTTTTGCGCTTTAGCGAAATTCCTAAAGTCGGACCCATAGCCCAGTATGGTCTGGTTCTTTGTTCCCCTGGTCTGTGGTTCAACGTGCTCCAGAGCTTCTCTCTCTCTGCTTAATACATCATGATCATATTCCACATCTGAGACAAAAACAAAAAAAATCACTTCTAAAATACATTAAAAACTGCTTGCAGAAGATGATCAGACATAGCAACAGGCATTTTCCAGGGAGGTGGTAGCCAGCAGTCAAAGAGCTTGCTCAGACAGCTTCTCTGGGAGTCAAGTGGGTCTGAATTTGGAGGGGGGGAGAGAAAGAGGCGACATTTACATCGGAAGGGGGACAGACCTGTCCCCTCTCGCCCTTGCCGTGGCCTGGGCGGCAGGACGCCCGCGCCTCCGGTTGCCCCTGGACAGCGAGCCCTGCCGGGTGCGGTGCGGGGTGAGCGTGCGGGGTGCGGGTGCGGGGTGCTGGTGAGGGTGCGGG